CGCCGCGGGCAGCGGCGGCCCCTCGGCGCGCGGGAGCAGAGAGCCCCAGGAGAGCAGCGTGCGCCTCTCTGCTGCGCCAGAATCAGCTGAACAAGCTAACAGCCTCCCTCGGTCACCTCAGTTCTGAGGTAACGCAGTTCAGCTGTAGAGCAGGTAAAGAGAACTGTGCTCCCTGCTTTCCAGAAGAAAAACCTTTGCCCTTGTTTAAAACTGATGGTTATGCTGTTAATCATCAACATCTAAGCTTGCACAAGTGGGGGACAGAAACTTGCAAGGCTGAAGCTCGATTTTTATCACCAACATTGCTGATTTGGAGAGCGCCAAAAAACAAGATCTTCATTTGAAAACCCTGTCTGGGATGTTGCATTTCTGATCTGCCTGCAGGTAAATAAGATGGCAATCTACATGATTAAACGGTTTATTTAAAGAATTATATTATTGAACAACACACTAATTTCCCCAGATGGCCTACCTAAAAATTAAGGAATGCAAAACACACACCTGGTAACACTGTTTGTACCATCCTGCACTGAATTATGGTGATGGATGAAATAGACCACTGTGAAACGAGGACATTTTGCTGTGAAACTGCAGATTAATTTGTCTAAGAAGTCCAGTCTGCTGCTGTCTGGTAGCAGAATGATCTCTCCAAGTTAAAATATCTCTCAGAAATTGTTCTTCTCGGCTATTTTTACTGCAAATTTACTTCAGTATATACTGTTGGAAAGGAATAATAAGTTGAAATATACTGGATTTGGAATATTCACACATGTAAATCATTTTTAAGGTAAAGCTATACATTTTAATTGAAACTGAATCAGTCTAACTAAACCGTTACACTATGACAGTTGCTTGAGAAAGTAAGAGTTAAAAGTCTCCCTCGCTGATATTCAGTTCCTGCTGGATGGTATCTAGATACTCAAAACACATATGGGCAGGATGGGTTCTGGTATGGACAGTATCCTAGTAGGAACTGCAGTTCTTCCTTTTAACTATTGTTGGTTAACTATTAACACAATTCAGATATTGAATTTAACCTGGAATACAACATAAATATTGTCACAAGCAAAATGAATAAAAGCAATCACATCTTTCTGTTTGAAAATATCATTTTTTTTATTAGACTTCAGCAGTGATTGTCAGAAATCGAGTATAGGGCAGAGTTTCCTAGAGGTTATTTTACACGAACTCAGCTAAAATTAAAATATTGAAAACTGAGTGACCATATTTTTTTTTCTTAACATGACAAAAGTATGTTTTTCTCAAAACACTGTTTTGAGAAAAGTTGTCCTTAGCGTTCATCCACAAAGTCTTAAGGCACAAGAAAACAAGCATTTTCTTCGTAAATACAGTAGATTTCTCTGAGGCACAGAGAGAAAAGCACCGAATAAAAATTTCTGTCGTTGATAGACTCAAGTGAATAACAAGGTGTCACTGAAAAGAAGCCCTGTTATGCTGTATTTGTTATCAACAAAAACTACCTTTTGTTTATACTGATTCATGGAGGCATGTAATATGCAATCTACTCTTTCAGAAAAATAAGATGATCTTTCTTGTGCTTTATGGGAACATATATTTGTTTTTGAGTGGTCCAGAAGTTAGTATGTAGTCATATTGAAATTTAAAAGAATAGTTTCTAAACCTGCAAAATTACTGTGTTAGCATATTCATAATTATAGGACATGATGACTTGGATGGAATATGCCGCAATATATGATCCTTGGAAGAATCAGAATAGCTTTTTAAAGTAACTGTGTCCCTGAGATTTATTAAATTGATATCCACCTAAACTCCAATGATAAAGCTATAATTTATCTCAGTAGGAGCAAATCTGTATCATTATAAATAATACAGAAGTTCCTAAAATCAAATTACTTGTCACATGTGGAATGGCTTTGCAAACAATAAAAATATTTCTGAATTCCATTCAGTTTTTAAATGTAAATTTTACAGAGAAGGTTTTACCTCTTCCCCCACTGCAAGCCAAAGATTTGAATGAAAAAGCCCAAGTGGGGAAAAGAGAAAAACAATCACTTTGCGGTTCAGACATGCTTTGAAAATATCAGTTTTGTTAGAAATGGAGTGAGGGAGTGGTGGATACTAAAGTAATGCTTAATATTGTACAGAATAATAAGATTTTGAAGGGAAAGTATTTTTTCCACACCTTTTTAATTATACTGACAAAGGCATTAACATCCTCATCTTCGGAGAGCACAGAATGGAACAGCAGCGTCAGACACTTTGGATACCTTTTTTTAAGCCATAAATTTGCCAACATATTCACGAGCTATGATGATCCTCTGAATCTGAGCAGTTCCCTCATAAATCTGCAATGTAGAATGGCAATAATGTTACCTATGACCTTACAGATCCTGGTCCACAAGCTTTCCTTGATATCTGTTTTGTTACATTTTACCTAGTCACTTTTAAATGTCAGAAAGGGGTGAGAGAAGGTAAAAAGTTACTAGTTCTGTTAAACAGAAGATGTTCTTGTTGAATAAAGTACTACAATACTGTATACAAAAAAAAAGTAATATGGAATAATGTCTTGGCAATAATAATACAGATAAAGATCTGGGGATTATGTGGGCTAAACATGAGTAAATATGAACTTTAGTTTGTTCTGGAAAACTGCTAAAAGGGATGTGAGAAGAACATAAAATGTAGGCATTACCAAGGGCGATCATTTTTTTTCTGTATACAGCTGTATGTAACAAGTAGAAGTACGTAATTTGCAACAGCCATTATTTGGACTGGATGCTGGAGTACGGGAAAAGCGTAGCTATAGTCAAGCAAAGGTCAGCAATACACAGGGGTGCCCAGCCAAGGATTTCAATCGTTGAAAGTTTTCAAGAACAGCATTACACACAAACCATCCCTCTCCCTGGCAACTTGTTCGTCTGTGTTACTGCAAAGCAAGCATTGGTATTTGGACCAATGTTTTCTACAGCCTCTTTTCTAAGAGTTCAAGAGCTTTGAAATGAATAGTCCAAGAATTTGAAAGATTTGCACTTCAGAAAAAAAGCATTAAATATATTTTTCTTATATTTGTAGCTTTTACTTGAAGTTATTGATCTAGTGCAAATACTTTTGTATGCAAGAGTTTGCCTGATTTTAATGCCTCTTTCTTAAATTGAATGATTACTTCTTTCATCCTAAAAACATTTTATATGTGTACATCATGATTTAAAATAAGTAGCCATTAGCTTATTTTATGCACAATTTATGTATTATGTTAAATATCACATTCTTTCTTTTACTTACATGGTAGATTTTAGCATCCCTCATTAGCTTTTCTACAGGATACTCAGTATTAAATCCATTTCCTCCAAAAATCTGTACTGCATCTGAAGCTACTTGGTTTGCAGTGTCACCTGCAAATGCCTTTGCAATGGAAGCATAGTAGGTATTCTTGTGACCAGCATCAACTTCCCATGCGGCTCTTTGGTAAGCCATCCGAGCTAGTTCCACTTTCATTGCCATTTCAGCAAGCATGAAAGACACTGCTTGGTGCTACAAATGATGAAATAAACCAGGTTAACATTGCCTGCCTAAAATCTATGACAATCAAGAGAAATAGAGCTTTCTTAATACAGTGATCACATCAGCAACATCAACAAATTCTGCTTGAGGACTCCTACAGAATATATAGACCAGGCTCTTATATCTGTATGTTGAATTAAACTTACTTCAAATAGACTTCAAGGTTTTAGATTCTAAAATCCATTTAGTCACGAAGACTGAGATTTAAATTACAAAGTTAGCTTTTTTTGAGGTCTAGATTATAGCTTGATGTCCTTCAAAATTGAAAGCAGTGTATTGGTATTAATCCTGTGCATTTCTCTCATACTTCAAACAGAAAGATGGGATCAGCTTTTCCTTTGCTGAAAATCCCCGTGCATCAACACTGAAGAATTTAAATAGGTTATGATAGTACAGGACTTCCATTTTGGGGGGAGAAGGGGGCGATTTTTCTTTGTGATAGTATCAACATCATCATCATCAATAAGTTAAAAAAATCCTGGAGTTACTGCATAGTTGGTTGCATTTATATGACGCTCACCTATATGTCTGAAAACTCAGCCAGTGGCAGAGATAAAATGGTTCACACGTGCTAGAAATCAATGAACAACCTTGAAAATTCAAGAGCAGTATATCTTGTGTGAAAACATAGCTCTTTCTATATATACATGCATATATATATATATTTATGTATATTTAACTTACTTCTATGTATATTTAACTTACTTCAACAATTGCTTTCCCAAAAGTTTTTCTCTCTAAAGCATATTTAGTAGCTTCATCCAGTGCTCTCTGTGATAAACCAACAGCACCAGCTGCTACCTGCATTAAATATAACACAGAGTAAAAATCAGAAATTCCTATTGCATTTTACAAGCAAGATATTTCTGATACTTACAGGAGGCCTGGTCTTATCAAAAGCTCCCATTGCAATTTTAAAACCAGCTCCCTCAGCTAGTAGTACATTTTCCTTTGGGACTCTCACATCTTCAAAGACAATACCTCTCGTATCTGAGCATCGCTGACCCATATTGATTTCCTGAAAAGGGTGTTAACAGAAGTGAAACTAAATTGGATTCTTTCAAGGTATAACATATCTTCATAATTCAGTTTACTCAAAGCATAAAGTAAGCTTTTTTCCCCAAACATCTCTGTTTCATCTAAAAAACATATCTATAACAAATACTATTTTTGCATTTACAGACCCACATGCCTTTAATTTGTCTATGGTGAGCTGTTAACTTTACTCTTATATGAAGTAACTGTAATCACTCTTGTTATTTTTCTCTAGTTCAATTACATCTTTTGAGATGGGAGAGGAAAAAAGTGATGAACCTAAAATACAGGCAGTAGTGAAATATTCTACTATAGGCAGATAAATAAATCAGCTTTTCACTTTTCATATTTTCATCTGCCTTTACTAGTGTTCAATGTCAGCTTTTGCCTGCTACTAAAAGTTGCTTTTTTGAGAGAGAACTACTGCTTCCTTGGGCAGCAGTAACTTAAATTAATTGTGCATTTACTTACAGCTGAAGTTGTCTACTTTGCTTCTCATCCTCATAAGACACACTATTTTTCATTTATAATTAACCACTAGGCAATGAAGTGGTTCTCAAAGATTCTTTTGCAGCTGTTCAAAGTCATCATTAGAATACTCTGAATACTATCTTTCTGAATAATAAAGTTAGTTCTAATTAGAAGTATGCTTTATGAATAGTCTGTTTTGAAAATAAAAACATCATTACATGTGATCATATTTAAATGTTCAGCTGCATAATAGTCTTTTTCTTTATTGGGTATTTGTTGCATTATTGTTTTAGAAGTGAATAATAATGCTGGTCTGTCAAATAAAAGATACACTCTTCACCTTTCTTCCGATTTGGATTCCAGGGCTATCTGCTTCTACAATGAATCCAGTAAAGGCTTTGCTTGCAGGAGTTTTTGGGTCTGGACTGGTACGAGCTAGCAAAAAATACCTAGTGTAAAACAAAGAAGAGGACCTCAGTTTGTCTGCACAATTAATAATCAGATATTTTTTAACAGGTTAAATGTTTCAGTGTACTTTTCCAGCATAGGAAAAGTACAATTTCCATCAAGAAGTAAGCAGCCCTTCTTTCTTGTCTCTTCTAGAAATAAACTGAGGGGGAGCATAAGAGAGTAAGTTTCAGTACAAGTCTTACTGCAAAATTCAAGTTTTAATAAAATTTCTTTAGCTCAACACACAAAAATTGTCCATCTTGTCCTTGTACTATCATGTAAGTCTTTATGATATCACCAACTTCAGGAATTAGTACAGAAAAAAATCTATTAGATGAATTCACAGCATATACATAAAAATAATAAATGCTTAGGAAATACATTCTGCTGTGCAAAATTTAGGTTATCACCTAATCCCAAAGAAGATCTTAATTTTATTCTTCTAATGTAAGTTCTGAACAAGTAATTCTGTTAGAAATTAAACAGTAGTAAATCACAATTTTGGTTTTCAGTGATGTCAAAAGACATGCTAGATTCTCCTTGATGGTCCAGCATTGAACGAGAAAGTGAATAACGAGAAAATGGAGATTTATAGATACAATATTTACAGTAAAGTTCTTTCACTTAAACAAATTTATACAGTGGAGATGAACATGATATCATGTGAGCCATGATGAAAGAGGCCTATACTTTAAAGTGCACTGCTGCAGTACTATCTGGATTCTTTGCTGGTTAGAAAATGTTTTCCCTTAAAAAAGTAAAATGTAGCACAACTGAGCAGCGTTTCCAGCTTCACTACAATGACATGTTTAGAGCAGAATCATAAGGAACTGATCTCATACCTACAAAGCAAGGTAACTTGTAATATGAGCCTCTTAGGGTAATTTGTGACTTAAATCTTTCTGCTGCTGTCTTCCAGTGAAGAAAAGACAGAATTACTTTTATTTGATAGCAACAATACTTGAGCACTTTTGAATGGACTGTTGTCATCTGTCAGTTTCCTTTTTAGGTTTTGTACAGGATAGAGATTGCAGTCTTACACCTTGTCCTGAGCTAGTTACAGGTTACAGTGCAATGGGATAAAACACAGTGAACCTCCAGATTTTTTAATAGAGGTATTTAAAAAAACACAGGTATTTTACTTCTGGAGAAAAATAAACAATATAGAACAGAACAGCATAGAATGTAACATGAGTTAACAGCTCACACACCAGTTAGCTTTTCCACCATTTGTGATCCACATCTTCTGGCCATTAATAACATACTCGTCTCCTTTTTTCTCAGCCTTTGTTTTTATACCAGCCACATCTGAGCCTGCTACGGGCTCTGTTACACAGTAGGCCTAAAAGAAAATAAAATGCAAAATCTTGAATAATGCGGAAGCTACATGTTTCAGTTACCATAAATTTTAATAGACTACATGCACAAAAACAATCTGAAAAAGTTTTAAAAGAACTGTATGGTAAAAAAGCACAAAACTTTGCAAGTATATTATAAAGATGCTATTAAAAAAAGGGAAAATATTTTGATAGGTTTTGATAGGTTTAAAATGAATTGCTGTGCAATACTAAGGAGTATGAAAAGAAAGCCTGTATTTTTTGAAGGAACATCAAGATATCAAATGACATGTATAGCTAGAACATTTTTTGAACTTTAATATTATCTTTGTATTCTTGCTGTCATATAAATTTTTAAAAACATTTTAAACATTTAAAAACATTTGTAAAATACATTGTTGTTGTCATGAGGCCTGAGATGTTCATATAAAAGGAAACAGGAAAAAGGAAACAATGCAACCGCACTGTGAAGCAGCTAATTTACACCCATTACAAGCTAACAGACACTTGAAGCCTGTGCTCAGCCATCTGCTGACACAGTGATTTTCCCAAGGACTGGAGAGACTTACTGGCCTGTCAACTTAGGATGGATTGTCCCTTGACCTCATTTTAAGTTAGGCATACTTGCTTTTCTGTAGTTCTCAGAAACTGGAATCTTTCACTAGGAATACTGTTAGTAAAGTTTGCATGGAAGTTTGACTTTTGGCTTCTACATACAGTATACCAATTCTAGATAATAGGAGAACAGAGTTGTTTTACACTGTCTAGACATCCATTATAACAAAAATAACTGTGTATAAATAATGGAAGAATACTTGTAGAATGAGATTGGGATAACTGGACACCAGTGTCCAGACACCATTCTGTGACCCTTACTAAGTCTTCACTTCCTCATGTTTTACAAACTCATTTATGAAAGCTCTATCTCTTTAAAATCTGGAAAGAAGAGCACAGAGTAACATTTTATGTTTACTGTATTCTTCTAAAATAGCACTTTATGAGGCTTAGATGTTCAGATTTTAATGTACTGGACACAAACCTTTTCTTCTTTCCATGTAACAAATTGTGCTTGTATAATGATTAAGTGTCAGAAATAGATTTTAATTTCTATTAGAGTTTCTGCTCACATAAGCCTAGTATTTTCCTAATCTTCTACTTCTCCTCTTGAAAGGGAAATAAAAGGTATACATTTTTGTAAATGACCTAGGATGGTTTTGATGAATACATTTCTATATATCCCGTTACTTTCAGTAAATGTCATTGTTTATTTACAAACCATGATGGGCTCAGTTGTGACTGGATGTCAGTGTTTTCTTCAAAAATAAATATCATTTAGTGTGGTTTAAGAACATTCCACAATGTAGCAGTCATACTCACACACATCAACGGTTCCTCTGTCAGTCTTCCTAAATATTTCTTCTTTTGCTGATCATTTCCTGCAATGATTAGTGGCATTTGCTGAAAGAAAGTATTTAGACCATTAGTTTGTCTTTGTCAAGTGCACAGACTCAATGAGGGTAAGAAAAGATGGAACTCTCACCCCTAGGCTATTTGCTTCAATGGCAGTTTGGACTCCTGTACATCCATAAGCTATCTCTTCTGTAACAAGGCATGTTTCAAAGCTGCCAAGGCCAAGTCCACCTAGAGTTGAAATATTTCATTGACTAAAATGAGCTCAAAGGGTAACATATTAATGATTTACACAAATTAATTATCAAAACCTTTATTCCCCAAACATTTAACTGCATACTGTGCTTGACTAGACAGTCCCATGTAAGCTTTTCAAATAGAGTCTTGTCGGAATAGCAACAATGATTTTAAAAATACACTTCGTATTTCCAGGGTTACTGCATGATTACGTAGGACAAGTTGCACAGATGGCAAGAATGTACCACTAGAGTTTTTTGACTACTTGATATTTGAGAATTTCCCTAAGAGATCTTAGGGAACAGAGACAAGGCCATAAGGGATCCTAAGCTCCAGCAGCACTTAGGAATGAAAAAAAAAAAAAAAAAAAAAAACCCCCAGCCAGTAACCGGTTTCTGATAGAGGTCAACACTTTAGGAAGAACATAGAAAGTCAACTGTCCAGTAATGCTTCTTCAGAATATTTTCCCCACACTTCAAAGGACTTCCTCAGTCAAGAGTGGTATCTGCATTAGAATAACCCTTGACAGATTTTTTTTCCTTAGGTTCAAAAAGGAACGGAGCAAATGAACACAGGTAAAATTTTAGCATCAACATTATCCAGTGGCAATGACTTTCACAAATTAACTGTATTGTGTGTAGAATCATCTCCTTTTTTTTTTTTTGAACCTGCAGTTCAGAATATATCATTTTATCTGTGAAGTCAGGATTTATTCTTCCCCTTCTTATATGCATGAGTTCCTACCTTGAATTTCATCTGCCACTTCAACACTCAGTTTCACGACCTTCATCAATTCTTCATACCAGCTCATCTTTAGTACACTGAATAACTTACTATTATCAGTAAACTCAATCACCTCACTATTGACCTGCCTTTTTAGATTATTTATAGATATTCCGAATAGCACAATACCCAGCAAAATTCAGCTAATGATTCTTCACTTGCAAAAACATGGCTTTCCAAATACCTTCTGCAAGTTGAAGCACACTGTAAGAAACTCAGGTCCCTTGTTTACACACTTATTAGTTACCTCAGAGAACTGCCTTCATTTTTTGAGGCATTGTTTCCCTGTACAAAAATCCTTTCAGCCTTGAGCTTTTCTAGAATCTGTGGGTAAATAAAGGTGTTCTTTTTGTTCCTTTGATAGGAAACACACCTCTGGTAAGTCTCCCCAAATAAGGGTCTGCTATGGAAACTCCCCCCCCCCCTTTTTTTTTCCATGGTGAGTATGAGGCATATACCAAAGCACTTCTGTACTCTGTATCATTTTAGCTAGAAAACCGTTCTCCTGGAATAAACTCTTAAATTGTTCTAATCTGTGTCAAAGACTACATCAAAATATGACCTTGTAATTACTCTGCCTAATCAACTGATAAAAGTACACCATGGGAACATTAGGAGGTTGTAATCATGGTAGAGAATCTGTTCATAAGTCATCATCTCTCTAATCTGTATCCTGATTACATCCACACCTAATAACACCTTATGTGTCAACCTACTTACTGACTAAATTTAGTTTATTTGAGTATGCAACTGTTTACTGTATTCAGAATCCATAATTATACATGCAAATCTGTCTAATGTTCTTTGTTTATAGATTAAAAGGAACATTTACTTACCACAGCTTTCTGGTATGTGTAAATTTATGAGACCAAGTTCCCAAGCCCGTTTTATGAGCGGAAAAGGATACTGCAATATAAGGGGAAAATCACCTTCTTATTTATCTCAGTTACCATTTAAATGTTTGCGTTTGTTAAGATATATATGTATTCTCCCCCTACAATGTGGTAGGTTTACCTCGCCGGTTTTGTCATATTGTGCTGCAACAGGAATAATTTCCTCCCTAGCAAATTTACGAGCAGTAGCTTGAAACTCTTTCTGTTCATCACTGAGCTCTAAAAAAAAAAATAAATAAATAAAGAAGTCACAAGTTCTGTATTATCTTTCATTTTGCCAGCTGTAAGAACTAAAAGAAAAGGAATACAAGCCTCACTTCCTACTAGGACAACCCAATTCACCACTTCCTCAGCCTCTCCAAGAAGCAACAAAATTCAGCTATATCCTTGCAGAAAACCTTCACCGGGACCTATAATACACTTTGTCAGAAATAACTATCTATAACATACTGAAAATAGAATAGAATGAATGATGTAACTTAAATGTATTACAAAACGAAGGATGAAGAATGCTGTGGATGGAGGAAGAGGAGGCAGATGCTACTTCCTTATTTTAAGATTCTGACTATTCAGTGTGAAATATCTAGGTGCTGTCTCACTAAATGTGCTTTGCACATATAACATGCCAAGAATAGGTTGAATTTCTCTATGAGAGAGACTGTGTAGGTTTACAAGCCCCAAAACTGAGAGTGAAAATATTAGAATACTTTATTGTTAGAGGGAAGTTCTTCTTTAACCCTGTTCAAGTAAGACTACAAAGTTATTTAACATCTTCAAGAGCCATGTGAGTTAATTATTCAAAGCCAATTCAGCAGTAGAAATGGTTAAAAACAAAAGAAGAATATCTTACAAATATTAACACATACTTGACTTCTCTGAGTTGGAAAAGTCGTATTTTTCAAACTTTTTAAATGAACAAAAACCTGTTTAAAATGAACAGCTCCATTCTAAATTCATACTGAACTGCAATATAGTTATTTTTTTCTGACTCTGCAATTTCTCATTTATTGCTATATTTCTTTCAAAAACTATGATACTTACCAAAGCTAAAGCCACCTCCAGGTTTGCCTTTGTGTAAATTTTGAGCAAGTATTGTCGAATATTGTCTCCATCCACGCCCTGCAACGGCTTGAAGCATCTATTAAAGACAAAGAACATGGGATGTAAAGACCTTTAGAACTCAAGTCTCCAAAAGCTACCACAAAGACTGCAGCAGATTTTCTTAGAAACAGTACCATGTCAAATATTCATACACTATCTGCAATTGATTAAAAAAAAAAAAGATTGGCTTAGTTAAGATTTGTAGATAGTGCTCAAGCAGACCAACGTGGAATTCCAGGTGTTAACAGCAGGTATGAGTAAGGTGCTGTATCCACCTCTAAGTGTGCAATTGATCATTTAAAAGTAATTAAGCATAATTATAATACTGCCTCTTTTTTAAAGTACATGTCCACTGGTATACATATACCTAGGAACAAATTTTCTTTGTATCCACACACTAACCGAAACTGATTTTTTTTTGCCCAATACTGAATAATCTACTTATCCATGTTTACCTGTGTGCAAATTTAGAGAGATTTTAACAGTCTACAATTGAATCAATGTGTATCAGTGTACTGATAACATTCTGTATTCATATATTTATCAAGGATATTTTCTCTATTATTTTCTAATGACCCTATGTCGTAGACAGTTATTATTCTATTCCACACAGAATACAGAATATATGCAGTTTATTTTTCTTCCTTATATTGATCACAGATTCATTCTCTTTTTCATTGTATGTGCTTACTTGGCCCTTTTTAAAGGCTTAGTGCACACATTGACTGTTGTAACTATTTGTAGAATGCCTTAATGCTATGCAAAAGCTAGCACCAGATTTCTGCTCAAAAATTATGTCTGAATTTGATTTGAAAAGGTTATTTTATTCCCTTTCTCTCTTTAAGAGCTATCAATCTCTGAAATACTTGGCAAGAGAGGATTGCAGTTTGTACCACGTGAGGATTTGGGTGATTCTCTTGTCTATTCTGTCAGCTTCCCTGAAGTGTTCAGTTCAGGTGGAGCAGCTAGGTGTACTGATAAGCTATGGCTAGCGATGCTCAAATGCGACACATATTACCTGTTTGCTGGACTGTTACACGAGCTCTACAAGTATAGAAATAGCACCCATAAAAGTGTTAAAAAAAACCATGGGAATAATCTGCTGTCAGGGAGAGGGCAGGACAGGACCTGGCATGGACATGAAGCAGTCCCGACCACCTCAGTGCTGGAGGAACTACAGGATTTGCTCAAAAAGTGCACCTCGCACTGACTGACTCTGAAAAGCAACACTGAAAAGAGCTGCTTGACAGAACTGGCTGCAACACGTCAGGAGGGCGACCTGGAAACCCCGGTGTCCTGCGGGGCGCATCGCCTGGTGGCTCCGCTGCCTAAAGCACTGTTTGGTCTCTGAAACAAGGGGCCGGGCACCCATGCCCGGGGCGGCGCATGGGCAGGCGGCCAGGCCATGGCGTGGGGGCATCTGACAGGAGGCAGCTGCGGCCGCTCCAACTCACCTCCTTCTGACTCACAAAGGGCTCCAGAAAGGGGGACCAGAAAAGGGTTGGTGGGGGTCAGAAAAAAATGGTGCCACTCGTGCTTATTTTCTAGCTTGAAGCTCACTTTTTAATTTAGGTGAGAGTATCAGCACTTATGGAAAACATCTTTTATTACTGCGCATACGAAAAGCCTCAGGAGAGCGCAGCCCAGTCCATTCAGGAAACGCACCGTACAAAACACGCGTCTTAAGCCCAGGCTCCTCCGCTTGAGCTCGAGCTAGAAGCGGGGCAGGACCGCGCGGCTGGGGGGCTGCTCCGGGCACCGCTCTGGGGCGCAACCACCCGGCCAAGCTT